GCCATGAATGTTGAATAAACGAACGTGACAGCAACGACACCGTTGCTAACCAGAAGGCGAATGTCTGCAAACGTGCTACATATTTACGTGTTACATATCACGGTTGAGAGCTACATAACTAGAGCATAAATTGTGTATCACTGGTATAAAACGCGTCTTTACTGTCAAAGTCTTGACGCACTACTTCGCAATGCGTAAGAACGCCTTGATAGAGCCGTGTCACAGCCCCCAGCCTTCCGCCGCGGTTCAACAGAAGACAAATGAAAGTACAAGTAGGCCTCCACTCCTGAAAAGGAGTGTGCACCATATGCCTCGGAGTTCATGGCGGTTGTACTAATTAAAAAAAAATCACGACGAATTGCTTGTTTGCGTTAACAGTGTTGCGCACTGTAAGTTTTTTTTTTATTAAACGAAGGTACGTCGTTTAGTTGGAAGCACAATAGTGTTCTCCAACTATAGAATTGGCGAAGCAGCTCCGTCTACAAGAATTGACTATCCTCTCAACAACTAATGATCCAAGGCAGATGAAGCACTAGGCGGGGTTATTTTTTTGTTAAATAGATACAATTTTAAAACGACTGCGCTGACACGGGTGCTCTTTTGTATCCACGACACCGGAAAAATTGTGCGTTCGTACATCTTCTAGATAAAAAATATAACAAGTCATAACTCAACGATGACGCAGTGCTACGTCATCATTGGGTTCAGTCCTGTGTACAATCAGTCAAAACGCTGGTCCCAGGCGCATGATGACACAGCATGCACTCGAGTGAAACATGTTCCCACGAGTTGGAATTCTTCAGTTGATGCCGAAACTACAGCGATGCGACTTCGTTAGCTATACGGACTTTTGGATTTTTTACCAACACCATTCTAAATAGAAAAGCATACGTGTGCGGTTTTTTCTACATCACCTTTAATTAGAGCCAAAGCGGGTTAGTTATTAGACACGTGTGTTGAATCAGCGTTCGTCGGAGACTTGTTTTGTGACTAAATAGATGACGAGTTTCAGTCTTCACCCTAGGGGGTGTTGACTCGCACTGAGTGCAACTGGAGGCTACATCTCCAAGAGTGCATGGGAAACGGGGGGGGGGGGGGGGGGGAAGGGTGTTGTGATCGAACTTCTTCTGCAGGCCGTAAGCCGCGGTTAAACTGCTCATATATCGTACTTTTTTAAAGAAAGTCTGCAGATATTGTCTGTCGCATGTCCTGCGGATAATTGTGTCGTAACATGTGCAGCGACCACCACCGCGTCCTTTCTACGATGTATGAGCGGCGAGCGTGACTGTAGCACTGTCCACAGACACACGAGCGGTGGTGTGCTCTGGTCTGGTGCCAGCCAACAGCACTCGCTCAGGACTCGAGAAGGATGATTCCACCACGAATGGACCCGACGTTTCTGGAGTGTTGGTGATGGTTACCTTTGAACGTGACGCAGGTGAGGCAGAAAAAAAAAAGAAATCGGTGCCATACTTTTTGTTTGCGTTATGGTGGACCGCAGCGGTGCACGCTTCGGGTTATGTTTGCCAATCGAGCACTATGTGAACATATTCTGTGTCACGTGACACGTAAGCGTCAGTGGATTGACTTGGACGGCTCATAGAACCCTCTTTGATCCGTCGTAAGGGAAAACAAACTAAAGAACCCCCGCGCGCGTGAGGGACGCAGGCCATGACTCATACGCACGAAAGGCTTCAATCTGGCCAATGATCGAACAGATTGCAGTCAGCGCGCAGGCGCGTTGGTCGAAGTTGATCGTGTTTATCCTGAATGAATTGTCGATGCATCATCATCAACTTAAATCAAAGGTGTTGTCTTCTGACATTTCTTCTTCTACCCCTGTCAAAAAGTTTTCTTCTTGAGCCCGAGTTTCGAGGGAAATGTTTCAGGGTAAATGACCACAAGTAATTTACACTGGAAGAAAAAAAAAAAAAAACATTCAAAACTTCTCGACGCGTTGAGACCGAACTGAACGGAACAAAAACAAGAATCCGTTTGAACACGTGCATGCTTCTTCCTTTTCTTTTTTTATCCTCTTTCTTCTTAACGTGCCGCACCTAACGGACGAAAGGGTGACGCAAAACAAAGGTCGGCGTCGATGTCCATTTGAACGGGAAAAGGGAGTCTGGATTCCAGAGGCACTTTCGAAAGTAATTGGAGCTGGCACTTCCGCCAGCACACACCGCCCGTCACACGCTCAGAACTCCGACGTCGCACAACAACAAACAGGACCAGAGTGCGTACAGGCAGCTATCACAGACACCAAACTTTTAAAACTCGAGGGTTTTCTTCTTTCCTTTTCTTACTTTGTTTGAATTGGAAGCTCAACGTGAGATTTCAGGCACGTGGGGTTGTTTTGGTCGAGACTAAAACCTTTCCAATTGCTCTTTTTTTTTTCTCTGTTTTTTGTACGATTTCAACACAGAAGTTTTTCAGCGGCTTCTCTTGCCCTGCCTTGTCTCGTTTATTACTTTTGGTTGTCTGCGCGGTTCACTAGAAAACCCTACGACTGGTTGGGTGGTGAAATCTGGTACTCGACTTTACGAGGTGCTTCCGAAGGTCAACGGCCTAGTCGAGAACTTCGAACAGTGTGTATGGTTTCGAAAGAAAGGGTAAAAACTCTGGACCTCGTGCCGATAGATTTCTATTACCTTTTTCTGGAGGAACGACTGGAGTTGGGGGGGGGGGGGGGGGGGAGGAGGGGAGGGAGTTGAGGTTTGCTCTAAAAAAGAAAAGACACATTATTTCTTGGATGTCGAGAATGCCAGCTTTTTAATGTCCTGAAAATCAAAATGTAACGGCACCCATGAGAGCTTTTGTTCGTCGGTGTTTATTTCTCGTGTCGTGAAAGTGTTTACACGCGCCTTGAGCAATAACGAAAAAAACAAAAAAACAACACACACACACTCTGCAGTACTTTGTGTTTTTTTAGGGGCCTTCCATTCCTTATTTCTAAGACTGTGTTCAGTTATGCCGTTAAAAAAATGACATTGTGAGTGTTTTCGTATACACACTAAAATCCAGAACCTTTGCGTGCGTTCGCCAGCGAAAAGAATCAGGAGGGGTTGTTGACTTCTAGGGAGGGAAAACGCTTTGTACTTACAGGGCGTTCTTGATCCTGAGGGTCACTATAGGGCGAGCCGGAAAAATGGACATCAGAACATAGCGAGCTCGAATGTCTTTTAAAAGACATACTATGGCGGCGCATTTTACCTTGTCGATTTTGAGGATGTCAGTGATCAGTTTTTGTAAACAATTAGAGCAGTGCCCCTGAAAGGTCGCTTACGCATGCAGACGGCAGAGTGGGGCCCAGAGGACAACAGGTCATTAAAAGCAGACGACATAGGTAAGCTAAGCGACGGCGTCAGGTTTGCACAATCACGATTGCCCTTAAATATTGTTCACGCGTAGCGTTAATGAGCTCGCGCCGCAGAAAAGCCGGCGTCGGTGTCGTCGTCGGCGGGGAGGAAAAAATCCAGGATCGGCCGATATAGGGTCATTACGTCACAGCCAAATGATCTCGCGGGGGAATTTAAAGCAGACCCCAACGTTCACGTGAAATGTGACGTCACTCGTGGGTGGAACGTGACTAAAACACAACATTAAATGCCAATTGATGGTCGCCGCTTGTTTCGAATGATTTATTTTTATCAAGTAATTGATTTGCCTTAAAGAAAATAATGAAGAATTTTAGGCGGAGGCCACGACCCTTTGGTTGCGAGCCAGACAAGCTTGTACGGCTTGGGGAACAGCAGAAATTTAAATGTTTAGCTATCGCGTTCTACTCCTAAAGGCGAAGCTTAAGGGTCCTCCTGTAATTTTGTTCCGACCTTAATTTTACTGTTTATGATTATTTTTAGACACATGTTAGGTTGCACCAAGATTTTTTTCTTTTCAAAGTGATCGATTACCCCCGGCGTCGTGTGTTTCTTGCAATTTTGACAAGTTACGACAGCTGCTGATTTGAATATCAAACTCGACTTTCGGTGTAACTTGTTCGTCTTTATCAAAGTACCCACCGTTGAAATTCTCAAGGATTTTCTTCTCATCTTGCGAAGGAACGACGCCACCCTTTAAATTTTACGACGGCACAAATTTGACAAGTTTTGATTACTTTTGGGGGATTGCAAACTAGCTCAGGTAAGCCTCAGAAAATCATTCGACATATCGCAGAGTGCCTCGATCTTTTCGAGATTGCAGAACATCACCGTGTCATTATCATTATCATTAATAATAATGTAGAGCCCTCAAGATGATCTCTCTGAGACTTCTAGTGGGCTTCACTTCAACTCCTTTCACCAACCTTCGACTTTGAGATTCGTTAACACGTCTAAAGAAATGCAACTTTAACTGCTGTTCATTATATTGGCCTTCCATTGAGCTTCAAAACACACCTTTCCACGTTTTATTAACAGGTGTGTTACTATCGATTTGAACATGAAACTTTTTTTTTAAAATAAACAACTATAACATTTTACGAACATTGTTAGTAGGGTCTGTGGAATGGATCGGTCAATCTAAAATTTATATGTTTGTTTCTGAATGTTCTGTTTGTGTGTCACTGCGTGGGGCCGAAAACGCGTCCACATGTTTCCAAAAGTTTTTTTTTTTTTTTGCGATGGTGCTGTTAAGGTTTATTTTTCCCAGTATTGTGACCGCGGGCAAACAATTGTCGACACAAAACTTCGGACAGCCACCGCCATCTATGATCGACGGTGGCAATCTTTCCAGCCTTTCTACTCTGGCTTGCCGACTTGCGGGCGGCCATAACTTAATTCCCACCATAGTATACAGCTTCGCTGGTCTTCCTTCTTCACCAGAGTGGAAAGGCTGAAAGTTTTGTTTTCCGCCTCCCCTTCACGAATTTAATGAGAAATGATTTTCGCTGTATCGTATCGTATTGTGCATTTGTGTTTGGTCCAGGTAACCATGACGTCGCTCATCTGCTTCCCACTCTTACTGTCCAGGGCGCCTGACAAGGGACGAGGTTGCGGACAAAGGTCACTGTCATGTCGCTGCTCCTGCTCCTGCTGGCCGCCATTGTTGTGTTCGCGGTCGTTCTCGTCGTCACATACCTGACCTACCGAAGGCTCTACGATCAGCTCCAGTTCAAGCCTCAAGTGCTGCATGACAGCCCGGTGCACGTCAAGATAGCGCCAAGGTTCGTTTTTGTTTCATGTGCGATACAGCGATCAGTGTACGCTGAAGTAATGCGCAGCCGAATAAGTGTGTAAAGTCACACTCCCAACTAGAAAAAAAAAAAAAAACTAGTGCGCGTTATTAAAAAAAAAAGATGTCATTACTTGTTACTGGTTCAGTAAGTAGCTATGCTACACCTTACTGAGATTCAAGAGAAATGCGTTATTTCAGCTTAAAAGTAAGTTATACGTTTTCGTCACTCTGAAGGATTCGTTACTTTCTGAAGCGGTAGTTTGCCTTCCAATATTTTGTGTCGTGTGAACACATTCATTGGCACATTCTTTTATATTTTCTTGACGCTTTTTGTCCTGTGAATGTCACAGGAGCGAGCTGAGGGTTGAAAACCATACGGGGTAACTTGTGTTGCACACGTTCATCTCTAGAAGCAACTAAATATCGTTACCCTTTGATGCATTCAAAAGTAACGCAATATGTCACTCGTTCCTTCTCTCGAAACCTAAGTCGTTACTTCATTACCGAAAAAACAAGAGTAACTAGTAAAAAAGTAACACAGTAAAATAACGCGTTACGTACTAGTCTTACGCGGCGGACAAGAGAAGGATCCAAGCGAATGATGAAGATCAGTATACGATTTCGTCCCCTCCCCACACGGTAACGCGCACATACCCGTGAGCAACCAATTTGCAAAGAAAGTGTCAGTTATTGAATTGCAAACTCACTCTGTGGTTTCAGTTGCTCTCTCACTCCTTCTCTCGAATGTTACTATTTGCGCATGACTGGATGGATGGATGGTTGAATGAGTCCGAACCATTTTAATCGGGCGGTAACTTGCGCCACCTAGACAGATATTTTAATTTCTACAATTGACTAATCTTCTATCACAAAACACATACACATACACAAAACGAAGGCGACGCCATATGTTGCACCTGCTCGAGAACAGGCAATCGCTTGATGGCATCGCAGCAGTCGGAGCTTAGCTGTGCACTTTTTAACCATCCTTAATCTGCGACTTCTACGCTCAACGAGTTCGTTTCAAACTGTTAGTGCTCAGAGCACTGTTTTACAGCATGATATAATTATTAATACCGCCCCCCCCCAAAAAAAAAACAACAAAAAAACAAAAAAACAAAAAAAAAAAACCGATATGTTGTTTGTCCGTCCGCCGTCAGTGCATTTCCCGCTAAACCAAGCGGGGAAATTGACGTCACGTGACCTATACTCAAATTTTGTTTTTCCGCTAAATGTAGCGGAAAATGAGATTGACATACCAGTCGAGTTTTCCCGCTAAATTTAGCGGGGCCACCTGACCTATATACCTATTCAATTTCCCCGCGTAAAAAAGGGGGGGGGGGGGGGGGGGGGGTGTGGCAATTGATGTCACGAGACCTATTCGCGACTCCAGCGACCTATAGGGGGCGCCACCACCAAACAAACATGGCGGCTGAGTCCAGGTCGCGTCGGCTCGGCCGGGCCGCCTGAATGGGCGGCGCGTTCAATTTAACAAATTTTCTTTTGTTGAATGCCCAATTTTATGGGTATTTGAACTGAGACAGTTAAGTGTAGCCGGTGCGCGTAAACTTGCCGAGCATAACATTGTTTTGCCGGTGTTTTTTTTTTTTTTTTTTTTTTTTTTCATGTCAAACTTTCGTTTCGGAGACTTTCGTTTCGGAGAGAAACCGAAACTATGGGCTCCGGAGAAACGGTAACAGGCTCTAATTAGTTTTGATCATCTAAGGAAAGCGGCGAGGCTACAAAATTGTTCCACCGAGAGTAATTTTTAGCTAACTCGCATGCCTCGATAATGCGACTCATCTGTCCGCAAATTGAGCTTTTGTGCCTGTCCGCGTTTCAAGAAACAGCTCCAGTCGTGTGCTCGGTCAAGAACACATGCTGCAGGAAAATTACAAAAATTAAGCAAGCGCTTCTTGAGCCAAGAAGCATGTCAACTCGCTGGCGCTTCACTAAGCAGCTGATGCTCGTATTTCAATTCAGGTTTTAGTAGCAATCGAGAAGTCATTTTAACGAATATACGGATTATGTATCTTATTACGTCCTATGGTCCCACTAAAGCGATATTAGTATATTCTTCGGGTTGAAATATGAACTTAGTTAACTATTATGTGAACTGCTGAATAAAAGTATATTTGACAGACAGAGAGATACTACTTAAACTTAGCTAAACGGTTCTAGCCGGTAGAACGGAGACGAATGCGGACAAACTGAGGAGAGCCTTCATCGGAGATTGACTCAGACCTCTCTGCATTGAACTTGACTTCGAATCCTGAACGGATAAAATGAGTATTTTTTGTGGCCGGTCAACCTGAGCAATGTAGACGTATATTGCTGCTGGCTTCGACGGGGGTTATAATATAAATATTGGAGGCGCGATAGATCCTAATGACGTGACAGCTTCTAATTTTGCGAGACGCGTCCCCCACCTTTTGAAAGCAGATAATTTCCCTCATTAATCATACGCAGCGAGCAGGTTTTCTGAATCAAGTGATTGCGAAATTAGCCCAACTCCTTCAATGTGGTTTTTTTCGGCGAAAAGCCGCCAAGATGAATAGCCAACGCACCGGCCGGCGTTAGTGGCTCAAATTAACTTGAAGCTAATCGAGCACAACCAAACTCAAGGAAAGCAGCTATCGAACCTTCCCGTTCACTTGACTGCAACATTGGTGTTCCCTCCAGTGAAACATTTCGTCTGTCGACCTCAGTCCACTGTTCTACATCCTTATAAAGAAACTACCTATCAGTTACCAAGCAGACGTCCCTCTGAATGTGATTAGAGACAGACGAGAAATCAAAACGTTTTTCCGTGATTCCTCCCCATCCAAGAAATCAAAAACACGCGACCGTGTGTCGTGCAGTAAACGGGTTTTCAAACACGTGATGGAAGGAAACAATCTACTGAGGCTTCACCACACTAATGAACACTCGGGCAAACTTAAGAAATTTTCGGACCTTAGTCAAATTACATTGCTCGCCCCCGCGCCGACAGCACGTGTCCGCGAAAGCCATCAGAGACGCGGCGGGGCGCGGAGCGACCTGGACCGACTGGTTCCCGGTTTTCCCGCTTGGCGGCGTCCGTTTTGCTGGAGTCGCGAATACATCAATTCCGTTTCCCCGCCAAATTTAGAGGAAAAATTGATGTCCCATGACCTTACTTCACATGACATATTCTACCAATTTAATTTCCCGCTAAATTTCGGGGGAGAATTCACGTCATGTCACCTTTGTATCATGTTAATTCTCCCGTTAGTCTTAGCGACGACGTTTATAAACATACGTAGGTTATTCACAACCCCAAAACGACTGTTTAACGTCTTCTAAGCAAATGTAAACGATCGCTTCTCAAATACCGCATTTAATGCATCGTAGGACTTTGGATATTAAGGTCGCTGTCAAATGTTTTATGGGTCATTCTTTTTATCGGTGTTGCCACAACCCTAAAAATCCCATCCTGTGAGCCGCCATGTTTGGCCCGCTCTCTTAGCTGCGTGCAGTACAGGCGAAGGCAGCGCCTACAGAGGGGAAAAAGGGTAAGCATTAGGAAGGCCGGAGCGGAGGTGAAAAATCCACTCTCCTCTCTAGCGTTCCTAGTGCTCTCCTTTTTTCTCCTCGCTGTCTATTGTGCTTCTCTCCCGTTCCGCTTTCCTGGAGCCACTGGTGCGCGACCTTTCTTTCTTCGCCGGCGTTGCCTTCTTTGCACTGCACAGAACTAGTCGTGGTGCAGAAGTTTTTGCCTGGGTGATATGAGCGCTCGAAAGATGTAGGCTCACCAACAAACTTCGGTTTTCCGGAAATGCGCCACCACAAACGCCCCGAAACGTGAGGTAAATGATTTTTACGCTGACCATAAGATGTCCATAAGTGCAGACCGCACCGTCGTGAAAAATGACAACGGGATTCTTTGAACGCGTAAATAAGCTACGCATCGCAGGAAGTTTAAACTCAGTGAGAAAGTGACGCTTGCAGTAGGCAACATACCGAGAGGTCTGGGTTAGAGCTTGTGCGGCGTGTCCGCCGCTCGTGGTGCGTGGCTCCTGCCGCGTTCGCTGTACCATAGCCTCCTCTGTACTGACAAAGCCTGGCAGATCGCCATGAGACGCGGCCGATGAAAGTGAAAAAGGTAGAGCGGCAGACAACGGATGAGAGGAGGGTCATGTAACGGGCGCCCCGCTGCGGCGAGACTCCGAAACACACTTCTTTTCCGCGATAGAATGTCCGCTCGTGGTCCTCGCGTTCCTCTCGCGTCCTCGCTGCCGCAAAAGCTGTGCGCTGACAACCAGCTTCCCCGAGAAATGCTCTGTGCTACCAGGTTTCCGCGCTCCAAATCTGCGACCGGGCAGTCTAGGGCTCCGTCGTCGAACTTTTAGGGTTTGGGAGTATAGAGGAGGCTATGGATGTACGTGCGTTGGTGCACGTTGCTCTACCGTGTAGATATGGTGCCGCCTGCTTGTTCGCTACATGGGCTTAGGTGGACGTCGGCTCATAGAGCAAGTTTGTTTTTCTTTGGCATCTTTTCAACAGGTAAGGTCATGCGCTGCAACTTTCGCATTTTGTCACAACCGCTAGCGTCACCTTCTCACGGGGTTTAAGATTTCAGCAGTGCTTATTAATGCGTGCCTAAAATCCGATTTTTATTATTACGGCAGTGCGGTCCGCACTCAGCAAAGAACGTCTCTCGGTATGTTTACTATATATAATATTTATCAAACCAAAAATTTACATTGTGAGCGCCTTTGGCATTTGTTTCATCAAAAATATCTCGTCAGGTATAAAGGCCAATATTGTCTTCTTTCTTACTAACCATTTTTTTTAAACTGGCATGGTGTCTACAGGCGCCTGCATCCTAGAATTTCGGTTTGATGAATAAGGTGTGCGACGTCGGCCCATAAAAAATGTGAATTTGATTTTTTATTTCCTGATTCAGGTAGCGTTACGTGTTCAAACTTAGACATTATATCTCCACCGATAGCGTCAAATCCTAACTGA